TGGAAAATTTTATTTGGTTGGTGGGCTCCTATTCCTGATGTCTGGAATTGATCAAGAACAATACAAAGAAAACAAAAAGAATTACAGTCATAACCAAAGTAAACAAATGTTGCCTATGATGCACATGACTAAAAAAAGGCACCAGCAGAATTTATTTGTGCCACTAATAAACACGTGGCATTCTTTACAGAGTAGATGTCCCTGACTGATCCCCAGATCCCTCATAGTTAAATCTCAAGCCTTTTTACTTCCATACCACAAAGGAGACCACGTGTTTCTTAAATTCACCCATGATTTCCAACACTGCAATCATTTTCACCTTAACAAAACACGTATGTTTAAACATTACTGTCTTTAGTTCCTTACATACTGCCCTTTTCCTGAGAAAATTCATTTTTGAATTCATTTTGTGAGACACTTCATACTAACAGCAGTACTGCACAGGTTTTATTAGCATATTCCATAATTCTGAATGTTGAAACTGTTGATCTACTTAGGACAGTTCTGAGTCTAGAAAACAAAGATGCATATATCTCCTGTTAAAATATTCAAGCTCCTGTTTTCAAATGTATATTCGACTGAGATCACCCCCTTCACAGCTACTCGTTTCAGAGCTACTTCAAGACCACATACACTAAACGTAAGGCTCAAAGGGAGAACAGCTTGCATTAGGACAGCTGTAGTGATTTTCAGCCTTCATTGACATCTTTCTCTCTTCCTTACCATACTTCCACACTGCAGCAGCAACTGCTGAACTGCCCTGACCAATGGCCCCGCACGTGAAGGCAGATCTCCACCAGCACGATGGTACCCACACCTCCTTGTGCCCACTGTTCACCTGGTGTTTACCCAACGAGTGCTTTGTGCCCAGAACTACCGTCAATCACGCGCTTTGAGATGGAGCACTGATTCCAGTAAAGCCGCACAGACCTTGCTATAAATTACCAATTTATTTTAGAGAAGAGTGCCTGTTTACAACAGAAAATCATTTACGATGCCTATTCTTTTGCTGTGTGCAGAATTAACAGTAGGAACAAAATAAAGACAAAATTTTCCTTTTGTCACACCGAGAGTGCGATTTCTAGAGGCATTTCTCTGAAGAGGCACCATTACAAAAGCACGCATTATTCAGCTACAAAAAGAAGTGGAGAAGCATACATACCATGCTGTGGAGATAATAAGCCACAGAAATACGGTACAAAAAAGTTCCCAACAAACTCACCACAACTATGGCTGGCAAGAACATAATTTCTCAGTGGAGTAAAATGCATCTGAGATATTTAACCCTAACATCATGCAGTCTGCTGCATCTCAGCTGGTGTTTAAACTGTAGCTGGTAGAGCTTAAACTGAGAAAAACAGTACTACCTCAGAAATGCAGGAAGGGGAAACACAGCCATTCCTTGTTTAGAAGAGAATGATTTCAAAATTTTGCAAAACAAACTTCATTTCTATTAACACAAGGATATAAATGGCGCACTTGTAACAAAGTGGGATGTGTGAAAAATTCAAAGAAGTGACTCAGCTGTACTTCCAATGCTGCTCCAATGCCTGAGGACATTCTTGCTAGGAACACCGCAGCCATGTTTTAGCTTTCTGTATTTCATTGCTTTTGTTTCTTTAATAGATGGCAGCACAGCGCAGGTTTATGAACAGGAACCCTGAGACACCTAAATAATTGTTATTTTCCATGCATTGTTCTGTACCAATAAGTGCCCACAGTCCCGTTTAACAATGGATGTAATGGCACAGAGCTGCATTTGGAAGACAGAAAGACATGTCAGATTTTCTTTGTACTTGCAAGATATCCTGTATTGTCCCAAGACCACGGGCCAGTACAGAGCTGCAATGTGTAGCATACAAATGCTTAAATCCATAGCAGTCACTGCATGCTGCATTCCTTACAGCAGCAGCCAAGAGAAATGTAAGAAAAAAGCAGGGTGGAGAGGCACTCACCACTTACTTCTCCAGCACCAGCTAATATCTTTTCTGTAACTAATCTACTTTAACACTGCACGTCTCTGCTTTGTAAAACACTCTGAAGCACTAACGTAGGTGGCCTTCTGAAAAATCAAGCTTTTCCTAACTGTTCTTTTCATTCACTTGATCTCTACTGAAATTCTGCAACAGGAATTAGCTGTTACTTGCAAAACATAACTGATTTTTTGCACTATGAAATACAATTTCGGAAGTACATACCAGCCCTCTGTTCTCTGTATGTTTCTCAGACTCAGTTTTGAATACTTGCCAAGATTATCAGCTAGTGATGCTAGCTAGAAGGAGTACCTCTGGTTTTAAAAAAACACCAGTTATCAAAAGATGTGTGAAAAAAGAGTGGAAGAGTTACTGACATTCAGTTTTGTTCCATTGGAAAAGATAGTAGGTATTTTCTTTTCCCCCAAAATTAAACATGCTATAGTTTTCTAAAATAGATTTCCTGTACTTTCTGTAAGACTGCTGAAACCCATTCAGCCAGGGCACACGTAAAATCTTTGGACAAAAGATTTGGTACCACAGTTTCACTCACGCAGAGTTCAAGCTTTACGGGAGAAAGGCTTTTCTTCCACAGATCTGCAAACTTCACAGGAGAAAGTTATTTCCTCAGTTCTGCTCCCTCAGGAGGAGTTATATTCTTATAATCTGTCAGACCTACAGTCATATTTGTAATTTATATTTAGTAAAAGGTCATTTCTTTTCAGACCACCCCTGGCTATTCCTAACACAGAATGAATTCGCATTACTCACTTTTCACCCACAGTGTTGACACTTCTCCCATTGCTCCCCGGCCCTGGAAGTCTGTGTGAAACAACCTGAATACCCAAACACATTCAAAGATCTAAAAAACCCAATATTCTGCAGCACCTTGAAATATAATGGCAAAACAGCGAGAGTGGGATTTTTCTGGTACTTGAAATAGCACACATTTAATTAAAAGAGGAAAAAAAATTAACTGCTCATAGAGTGCAGCTCTCAAGTACTTATACCAAGTCCGACCAAAAAGGCTACGGAAAGAAGCTGCACAAGTTGGATGCTGTCATTTCAGAACAAGATAAATTCACCTACAAAAATGGACAGCCCTGATTTTTAAATGGTAAAAAGTGCTTGAGGGGCAACTCTGCAATGGTGTCCTGCAAAACAGAGGAAAGAGGATAGACAGCTACAAAGACACAGAGCTGAGAGTACAGAAACTTCTGCAGTTGGCAGAGATCTTATTATGTTTCAGGCAACAGACAAACCTACATGAAAGCAGCTGCAGAAATTCTAACTCCACTTATGTCCTTAAATAATTCAGTCCTTCCTCCACACTTCTAGAAGTGAACAATTCCTTACCAACACAGAGCACTGCCATCAGAAGCAGAATTTACAGCGAGAGCCACAGTGTAAAATCTGTTAACAAGCAGCTGTGCTGCATCATTCATTCAAAGGTCCATGTAGCCAAACAATCCCACTTAAGCGATGACCAACTGAACGGTCTGACAAAGGAAAGGTTTGAAGAGTAATTACACCAACTTATTTCCAAGAGACTGAAGAATTGGTATCTATCTATCTATCTATATAAATCTCAATTGTTGGACTACTATCTATGAATGCCTTATCACTTTGGGAATATAACACCCTGTGAATGTAAGTGCCTGGGCATGTTAATACATCTCATTAAGTAAGTACCTTCCTCTCTATTTTTTATATGGTGAGCTTGCTTGCTGGTAATTTCTTAAGAAGATTGTATTCTTGAAATACGTCAGGGAGTGAATAATCCTTCTCAATTCACCTGCTCCACATAGAGAATGACTTCACAAACCAAACCTTTACCTTCACCCTGTCTTGTTCTTCCTCAGGCTAAATCTCGTCTGTTCAGATTTCTGCAGGGAACTTTTCTCATTTGTGCCCATCCTAGTTATCCCTCTCACAGCATTTTCCCACTGCAGTACACTTCAGGAGGGAGAGCACAAGAGCAGTACAGTGTGAAGCTACACCATTCCCTGTCTATTTTTCTGTTTTGTTCACTAATACTATCATTCCAAGATGCCTGCAAGCACAAATATACAATCACACAGTATTTTGAAAATTCACTTAGTAAGGACAAAAATACGTATTAAAAAGATTATACTGTCTTCCAGCATTAATCAAGCCAGCATCTGAATTAATAGCCTGGCCTTCTCCACTTCTTTCCTGGTATCCCAGTTATACATCATTATTTGAATAGGCAGACAAACCTTGCAAAACTTTCAGCTTTGATGCATTTCCCTGACTGGGTATCTGAGGTGGGCTTGACATGTTTGGAAAGTTTTAGGAAGCAAAAATAAGAAAATTGAAAGAACAAAATTAAAGAACAGTATCTGCTGTTCAGCTCTTTTAAGAATCTCAAATGCCTCCGTAAGTTACAGCAGAAATTTTAGATCGGCACAAATTGCCGTGGTTTCAGAGACATCTTTTCCCACTGCTACGAAAATCTTACCAATTTTGACTAAGTTACACTCCTGAATGTGTATATATCAACTGAGGTTAAAGATTCACGGAGTTTGACAGCTGAATTACCCAAAGAACACATCAGTACGTCCCGTGTCCTTTCCATGGCTGTTAACCAGACTGCATATTCACGATGTTCATCACACAGCTAAGGTACATCCTGGACCTCCAGAAAATGAACTAGCCTTCTGCAACTGAAATTAACAGAGGATGCACCAAACAAAAATTTGGATTGGTTCAGCTGTTCCTACAGCTGATAGCTGTGTATTGTTGCCTGCCCAGTGTTATGCATACCAGTGTAAGGCTACAGCATTTCCGAAGGGGAAAAACAACACAACACACCCATAATGGCCACTGCTAAATTTCACTGAAACAATCTGTTTTTTAAAAATCCCCTTTACAAACACAAACCAAGGGCAGTTCTTTTACATCACTTTCAATTCATAATCAGATCTTCTGTAAAGCCACATTAGATCTAGAAAGGGAATTTACAGCTCTTCCTCATCTGCTGAAAGCAATTTTAAAAATACTCACGTTTTTAAAGATGGAATAGTTGCACATCAAAACAACTGGCAAATTGTATTAAAAAGGCACCTTGGCTCTTCTCCACTTCAGGCACTTCCTCTTCTAGGAAGGAAATGTGGTGTACAACTGTTCTAATGCCTGTGGAGCTGTGGAGAGAGGAAAAACAGCTTATGAAAATTAAAAGCATGTGTGCTGAGTTTCAACATTATCCTAAATAGGCACCAGAAGTCAGAGAAGGTTTACCAAGATTTCAGAATGCACTACTGCTAACGTAAGTAACAAGAGACACATATTCAGAGGTAGAGTACAGACATTCACAGCCATCAAAAGAACACCTGTCATGATCTAAAGCTGAATTTTCTCCTTTTCTAAGGGTCCAGTTTTGTATGCTGAAGAGTGTTCATAGTGTCTAAAGGTCCATAGTGTCTAAAGGTCCAGTAACAGCTCAGCAGTGAGGTGGAAGGGCCCTCAGAAGCCACACAGTTATGGCTGCTCCTGATGGGAGGGACCACAGTGGTAGGAGGGAAGTGACAGCAGTGAAAAAGGTGAAAGCAGATGGCTTAAGCTCCAAAAAGAACACACAGCAATTGAGTTCAGTTTCAGTTGAAATTTGAGCCATAAAGGAAAACCTGCTAGTGAAAAACAGAGCATTTGTTTGCAAAAATACAAAAGACTTTTGATACTCTCTACTAGCAACTAAGTTGTTGGGACTTACAGGGACTTTTTTTTTTTAATTTTTGTTTGTTTGTTTGTTTGTTCTGAGACAGAGAGGCTGAGCATTGCACATTCTAGGGGTAAGGTGAGGCTTAGCAGGTAAATTAGTTGCACAAATTCTATCAGGGGCAACTTCAAAACTAAAACCCAGCAGATTCTCATCCTTTTAACCTTTACACAGCAGTTTCTCCCTTTCCTACTCCTGAGAGTACAAATTAATTTCTCCTTTTAAAATCCCTATGGATGCTGGGTTTTAAATTCAAATTTCTAATTAAAATATTATCTACTGCTTAAATTACCTATTTAGTCTTGTGCTCTCAGATTACTGCCATTACAGATGATAATGCTTGGGAAAAAAAATCATTTCTAGTCAATCAACATATTAGTTTTGTCTGATGACACAGAAAGCCTCTCAACAAAATGCTGCTGCATCTTTCGAGGGTAACCCGTAGCCCAGCACAAAGACTTCTTATTGCTTCATATTCCAAATTATGATGCCCCTATCACTGTACTAAGGGAATGGGGTGAGGGGTCAGGAAGGCTGTTCTTCCCTTCTCTGTATTAGAAGGAGGGGAAAAAATGAATAAGGAGCTCTGTTGCTTACTATACTTTGGTGATAAGTAATTGCTTAGCTTTAATTTCCATTCCCTGTTCTGAGATCCAACATAAGTACACGTTGCAGTAGAGTTAAACTGTTAAGTGTGCTATTTCTTACACTGAGGTATTCACTTTTTGAAAATTAGGCAAAATTACAATTGATTCACTTTTGTTCCAAATTGCCTTACCTCTGTTTCCTGCCCTTCACTGTTCTCCCCATGCTGTACACCATAAAATATGAAGCATTTTAATAAATGCCAACTTTTCTTTGAAAGCAAAAATGCACTGCATTTAAAGAAAACTTCCTGAAAGCAACGTCAGTGCACTGTCCCTCCCACAGTTATAAACATCACCAGAGGATATTAACTCATAGAAGAGCTTAAGGCTTAAGAGATATCTGTCTGGAATTAATGCCACAAACACTCAGTTTCTCTCACTTCTGAGTCAGTTAAAATTACACAATTTTCCTCATCGGGTTTTAATTATGTTCTTCCTTGAGGCAAACTTGCCCTCAGTTGACACAAATGTTAACATACTACTTTAAAACAAACATAAAATCTAAGACAATATAGAGCCCTAAATTTGTCAGTGCTCCATATAAATACTTTGACAGTTAACCTATAAAGCACGCAGAAAGGAGGATGTAAACTTTACAATTAACAAACCTCTGATTAATGAATTTTGGCATAGAGGCACAGACACGGTTCATTTCCCTCACCTTGTCTTTAGTGAGTGGAATGCTCTCATCCAGAATCTCTGATCTATCATCTTCTAACCTGCATTAAAAGAGAGAAGTATCTCGGGTGAGGATGAATCTTGAAGATAAACTCTTTTTTCTTTTCCACACGACTATTTCAAAGCACCTCTATCACTTCTGTTCAAAAAGATATCACAAAAAGATATTTACAGCGACTGTGCTGTAGAGTCTTGGGAAATTACTTAATTTCCAAGTAATCAACGAGACAACAAAATAACCAACAGCAGGTAACTTCCACATAAAAAACTGTAACCAGACCCTTCCCTCTCCTTCCCCAGATTTCCACACTCCTCCCAAGAGACCTTTCACCTTCTGTTGCAAAATACCGTAGAGAAAAGGAGTATTGAATTTAAAATGAAAACTACCTCTCATCCTCCATTGATTGTAGTGGAGAACAGCTAATTCGTACTTAGCGATCAATCAGTTTTTGGAAAGGATTTGACAGAGCCTATGGCAAATGATCCTAATTCAGGAACAGTAAGAAGGTCAGTCGTCAATGGACAAGAGGTAAAAGACCACTTACACCTAAATAATACAACTCAACCTGCAACCCACCGGCGCTAACAGCAAAACAAAGGAAGGCTGCCCTGGGTCACGTTTTGATCGCACCACCTCTAGCATCTGCGGCTCAGGACAGCAGGACTTCTCTCACAAAACCAGTAACCACATCAACTCACCTTTCTAGAAAGCGCCTTGATCCAAGAACAGTGATATTACCTCTTTGCTGCCTGACACAGCCAAGCTTGCTTTTGATATCCACATGAGGAGGAAAAAAATGGATAGGACAAGAGCTGGGCAATACTTTATGAGTTCTGATAGGCATTAAGAAGTTCTAACGACGTTTACATGACTTTTTTCTTTCCTTGTCTCTCCTTCCTTCTTACAAAAACTTGTAGTTTCTAAAAGCTTAGGATGGACAATGCCACACTTATAAATGACTCGTGGTAAGATTTCACGGCATTTTTATTACCAGTACCTGCAGATCACGTGTTTTAATAGAGCTATAAGCATTCTGTGATAGCAAATCAGACATTTCAAAGTAGTAATAGCTTTCTATTGTGAACAAACCAACAGTATTTCTGTCCTACTGGTCTCAGCACTACATACACCCAGCAGTGGCACAACTGCACACACACACAATGCTATCTGTACAATATCTACTTCATTTCCAATAGAAAACGGGCACTGACAATTGGGTAGAATGCTTGAATGGAGTCACAGAGAAAAACAGCCTCTAACCCCAAACCTGTATCATACAGTAATGTGAAAAACATTGGTGACCTAAGGTGAAGTTCACACTCCAATGAACTACCTCAGATTAAAACTGGGGCCTTTACTTCCCAAAGGAAAGCAAGCAAGCCAACAACTCAAAAAGGATTAGGGAAAAGCCATTCTTACAGCTCTGTGCTCGGTAACTTCTGTAAACACAGCCGCAGTTTGGGACCGTCAGAAAAAGGAGATGCACAGATTCAGTACAAAAGCCATCAACACAACCAGGTCACAGAAGACATGGAACAAATCTAAACCGCCTTTCTTTCAGAGTAAAAGCAAACAACCAGCACAAGACAAAGGAGAGTAGATTTTGTAGCAAGCAGCCTGTGATGAAAGGAAATGACATGCAAATATGATTCAGTAAGAGTCACTCTGCAGCAGTCTGCAGAACCACAGCGACAGAGGAGTTCAACAGGAGTCGGTACATGACAAAGGGAAACGATCCTCTTGGTACAGCAGCCTCTGGTAAGGCAGGGAAAGCAGGAGTGGCCTGAAACCCCACTATAAATTAAGATCAGTTTCTCCCTGTGCAATTGTTTCACTTTATCTTACTGAAGACCTCGCTGAGTGCTCAGCACAAGCACCAGAGCGGAGCAGACCATGGGGAAAACAAACAAAAACATAAAAAACACCATCAACCAAATCCAGTTCCTCTTAGTAGTTTTTACTATGCCAGTTTGAGGAGGGGGTGAGGAGCAAAGGTCTGACTGAACCTGTCTTCTAACAATTCAAGTCAGCAAGACAAAGCCCAAGGAGGCAGCAGCACAAAGAGGGCAGTTAGGAGACAGCACAGCCAGTGTGAGTGATGAATTAGGACACAAACCAGGAGCAGCCCGTTGCATGTAGGGCAGCGAGACCTGGTTGCTGCATACACTGCAGTTCAAGCTGCACTATTAAGCACACGTTCTTGATCTTTTGTATAATTTTTTTTTAATAGCTAGTTATTTTAAAGATACTGTGCAAATTCTAGTTGTGACTAGACAACCAAAGACCAAACTATTGCTATTCACAATAGTTGGAATCAATTCAAACACTGTGTTGTATTAATCAGATTCTGCTGCTGTATTAATCAGATTCCCAAATACTACTTGGTATGCTGCTGAAAGGAATCTGACATTGCGGATACTGGATAGAAAGGCAAAAAAATCAGCACACCTACGGCAGTACTTTGATGTTCCAGATAAGGCTAATGATCTGCATACAAGATAATTATTCTCAGCTTGCAGGTTGTGGCAAGATGTTGTAATGGGCAAAGCAAAGAGTGCATTGAAACTAGGCTAATATTTTCTGTAGAGGCAATTGGCAACAGAAGTCATCTCACAGCAGGTAAAAAGCTCTCTGGGTCCCTGTGAACAAGCTAACCATCTTCCATACAGAGAGCCAACAATGCCTGATTGATTGAAAAAAAAACCATAAAGGGACACATAAAGACTTCGCCTAGGCTACAAAACAGAAAAATTGAGTTAATGAACTTAACAGTAAATCAGACAGTATGTAATCAATAGCGAAGGACTGTGTGTTCAAACCACTGACTTTGAGCAGCTGACATCATACCACTGTAGCAACCACTATCTTGCAGGAATAAAGTTAAAAAATTCTGGACATGAAACTTGTCTCCTGTATTCTGTACTTCTCAGAGGCAGAACCGTGCCTGTTCTGTGAAGAGCAGACAAGGGGCAGACATGGCAGCAGCCAACACCTGAGGAACTTCAACCAAAACAGCTCCTGGATAAAAAGACCCTGAGGAAACGTTTCACTTCTTGCTCTTTGAAATGAATTTGACGCTTCATGGCAATTAGCAATCACCGTAGTTGACAGTGACACATACTCGAAGGCAGAGAAGAAAGACATGGTAAGCAGTAATACAGGGAAATGCCAAAGTTGCATTCATTCTTTGATGCAAGCACCAAAGCCAAGCAACCTTCAGACAGAACCACTTTCCGCCAGGGTCAGCAAGCAGCAATGCGCTCCTCCTGCCCACGTGCTCTGCCGCGAGCAGGAAGGCACGGACAACGGACAAGGAAGCGGAGCGCTGCAAACATTACCCAGCACACCAGACGCAATCCCACCATTAATTAGCGCTCCCCCATCAGTCATCCCACCTGCACCAGGCCCTCGGGCCCAAGGGCACTCAGCAGCTCGCACACGCAAACCCCGCCCTCGCGCCACGCCGGCCCGGGCCGCCCAGCAGCGCACGAGGGGCAGGGCGGAGCCAAAGGGGCCGGGACAAACGGAGGGGCGGGGCCTCGCGGCCGCGCACTCAGCAGCGCCGCCTGGTGGTCGCCGCGCCCCTCCGCAGCCCTGCCCGAGGCGGCCGCGCCGCCAAGATGGCCGCCCTGCGCGGCGTCACGGGCCTGGAGGCGACATGGCTTCCGGCGCGCGCCGCGGCGTCCGCCGCCTCCGGAGACCGGCACAGCGCTCCGCACGGCCCAGCGGCTTTCTGTACCGCCGTGATCCGCCGGGGGGAGAGCAGAGAGCCCCGGGGGCATCAGGCCACGAGAACGTGCCTGAGGTATCCCTAGCGGCGGGCGGTGCGCCTGGCCGTGCCGACGAGGTAGAAATTAGAACAAAAACAAATAACAGTTACTTACAGAAGTCATTCTGATGTTACAGCTCACAATATTCACTCTTATGGCCAACCCTCCCCATCAGAAGATAAACATGAGACATGCGCAGGGATGGCGCAACTGCAGCAGAGCCAAAGCGTGCTGAAGAGTTGGACGGCTGCCCCCCAAAGCGCCTTTCAACTCGATCAGTTCCATCCTTGTGATTTTGAAGTAATTCACGCTAATGATGTGAGAGGACGTGGAGTCACCACCCTCAGCACATACCAACACTTGGCCATCACACTCAGATTTCTCTACAAAAAGATCTTCCCCCAGCTGAAGGTTTCTCACTACCACCTGCTAACGCTGGTGCCCCAGGCAATGGGGTGCTGTAGGGATGCACGACTCCAGCATGGATTTCTGGGTTACAGTGCATGGTGGGCACAGCTGTGAACGCTGCCAGCACACTGAGGACAGCGATTCCAGAACCAGAAAGGACGAACTGTCATATCACAAAGAAAGGTAACAAAAGATCCTTCAGCACGTGGAAGAGGTTCTGCCTGTTTTCAGAAGGATGAACACATGCTCCCGTGTAAGACACAGCATGGCTGAGGACATAAACCTATTTGCTGGAATGCAGATATGAGCACTGTCTGTGTGTTGAGCAGCAGGAACATGATCCAACATGGCCCAAAAGCTGTGCAACCATCTGGAGCAGCACTGAGCTAAGATTTGTGTATCGGTATCAGAGGAATGGTGAGCAGCTGGAGGTTCTGCATCTGCTCAGTGGCCACACCTGACAGCCCACTGATGGTCCTTATGTCTAACCGAGCTCTGTGAGAAGTCTCCAGCAGCATGAGCCTTTACATTCACAGTGTAATTTCACTTAGACAAGACATAAAACATATCCACAAAGGGTTCCCAGCCCCTTCTGGGTGTGCACATCTAGACAGGAGAAACCTCAGGACACGTTACACTCCACAGGTTTATCAAAGAGATCCATGGCTGCTATAAATCAATGCATGGATTTCAGTAGTGCTAACACGAGTTTACATCCCCAAACAATCTGTTCCATGTCTGCCTCAGCTAAAGATTTCTCTGTGGAAAATCTGTTGTCCTTCTGCTACTCCTTTGCATGCTTAAATAAAGGACCAGAATTTCCACATCTACTTCCTCCTCAGAATGAAAGAGCGCTCCTTTGTGCCACTGCACACAGGCTAGCTCTGGAAAGATCACTGCTAAGCAACAGAAAAATACATTCTTTTCATGTAAGAAAGATCCCAGTCACTTCATGTTGCTAAAAGCCACATTTAATTTGTGAAAGAAACATGGAAGCACTGAGTCTGATTTCTTACAGTCTTCGTAAGGCAGAAAAACATAACTGCTAGCTTTTTTGCTAAATGTAATTTAGAGCAGTGCAACCTTAGTGGTGGTGCATACATCAGATAGGCTGCAGAACAATCCTATCAAACAGACGTTTCTTGGCAGGTCTGTGCACTGTCAGCTTCACAGGCCCAAAGCCGCTGATCCAGCCACGTGCTACTAGCAGAGTTGGCTTAAAGAGGCAGTTCAAACTGATATAAAGCTTACAGCTTTGAAATGACTGTTTAGCAGTAGCTATCACAAACTGCAGAACTGTAAAATGAAGATAAATTCCAATAATTTACTTGAGAATGCATGAAAGAAACATCCACAGAAAGAACTTGCATTAGCTGTACAGGTTACTGTCCTGTTCTCAGCAGAATGAATCAAAGAAGTATCTTGAGTTGAAAATGAAACTAACCATTAATTTCTTTGTCAAATCGCATTAGCTCAGATTAGTTGTTTCAGTCAGATCATTACATTGCCACGCTAGGACCAGTACTGACAAAGCCAACAAGTAGTGAGGGGAAGAGCAAAGCTGCTGGGCCTTTCCATAGCAGCTTATCCTAAAGCCTCAGCCAAAGGCTCAACAGCACCACTTCCAGAGGGCATTTCAGCGTTCCCCTTTATTCGTTGTTGATTCCCCCACTTAAAACCATAACTTCTTTCTGTAATTAGGGGGAAAATTGAAGATAGCTTTATTTTATGTAGTATATACTGTAACCGTAGTAAAATCCCTTTCTCACCACTTCCCTCAACACCTTTGTTCCTCAACTGCAAATTTCTCCTTCTATCTTCCAAGCCCTGGATAAGAGAAGCTTGTTTAACTCTTTAACACTACTTCCGTTTCGTCTCAACCTCATTACAACCCCCTGTGCAACCTTGGAACAATTTGTTTGCTTTGCCTCAGGACATACATATTTATTTCAAGATTGCTCCCTTGTACAGACATTTTGGTCTGGTGGTGTACACCATGCCCACAATAAACAGTGTTGTAACTTATTCATTACAGAAGGGGGGATGAGAAAGAAAATTCAGCATCAAATTTTCTCTACAAAGTTTTCCAAAAAGCGTTCCACTTCCACTCAGAACACTGAGCTGCTTTTGTTAGATCTTGAAGAGTTCTCCTACCATGTCATTAAGATGAAAAAGTAGGCATAGAAAACATTTAAAATATCCAAACCAGAGAACCACACTCCTCTTATAACATTACAAACTCCATCAGGTAGGCACATTTCAGTATCGCTGGAAATTAACAGGCTCTTTGGTACAACATCCTCTTATACCAGCTTCAGAATACTGAAGAAACCCTACAAGGAAAAAACAGTCAGTGGGTAAAGGGAAAGAAAAACAGTGTCAGATGTATTTCAAGAGTAAACAGTCTTCTGTGCCAATTTACAGGATAGATTCAAGGCAGGATAACACACCACAGTCTTGAAAACCTTCAAGTAGCAAAATCTTCTAGACCATGCAAATACTTTGTTTTTTATTCATTATTACTTAGTTTCATTTGTGACAACTGTTCAGCAAAATTTAACTAAAGTAGGAATTACATGCTAGAGACAAATGTTATTGCTAATTGCATGATAATAAAAGCAAAACTAAGGTAGTGCTCTCTGTGGAAAAGAACTGAAAGTCCTCGCTGTGGTTTCAGCAACACTGTGCTACATCACAAAGCTGAGCTGGCAGTACAAGGCCCAAGGGAACATTCCACAAAATCTGTAATTAATTCTTGAGTAGGAAAAATCCCTCAATTATATCACTGCTTTGAACAAGCTACCAAGATATGCAGTAATCCAGAAAGTCTGGTATTAAAACAAGTGTATAATTTCAGCTGAAGATGAATAACAGCAACACAATGACTTGCAAGTAGCAAAGAGTACAAGTTGTTCCTGTATTCCTTGTAAGAACCAACAGCCTTAACACGTCAGTTACAAAAATACACAATCTGCCATGCAACACTACATGGGAAACCTGGTTTTGTTAACTGGAGCCTTCTTTGTTTCTTATTTAACATCACTTTGAGTGGCACTCGGCGATACCAGTAGAACCCAAACAGCTGACATGACGCTGCAATGAAACTTCTTCCCTAAGTAGTCCAGTTTGCAATGTCATCTTAACCAAGCTTGAAAATTCATTTTTCTGACTGTCAATAGCTTTAGCAGTGCTTGTTTCTGCACACCAGAGATGCAGAGATGACTGACTGAGAGGCTCTGAATCCAGACGCAAGACAAAGGCTGTCGCTGGTTTAACCAGACAGAAAGGAGGCAGGTATCGAGGACTGCGTCACAGCACCTCCCCGAGCACACCGCGCACAGCAACACAGCGCGCTTCCGAGCTTCAGATGTGTGAAAGAAGTCCGATTTATTACCGGCCCGCGTCGCCCGCAGGCCGAAGGGACAGGAGAGGAGCCGCCGCGCCGCGCCCCGCACCGTGGCCATCCCGAGCCGCGGGAATCGCAGCCCGCGGGCCGCAAACCGCCCCGGGCATCGCCTCGCCGCACCGCGCCGCCACCGGAGCGGCAGCCGCGTTCACGAACGGCAAATAAACAGACAAGCCAGAGGGCACGCGAACGCTCCACCGCCCTCAGATCCGAACCAGAAAAGCGCGGCGAGCGAGCGGGGCAGAGCCGGGAGGGCAGAGCCTCCGCTCCGTGTCTGGCGGCCCGCCGTCACGCCGGGTCCCCCGGGGCGCTCAGGACTTACCTCCCACCTCCCCGCGCTGCGGGCCGACCGCCCGGCCTAAATCTCCACGGCCGCGGCTGCCGCCGTCGCTCCCGCGCGGCTCCCCGGCCGTTCCTCCGGCAGCAGCATCGCTCCGCCAGCAGCCGCTCGCCGGCCGACTTGAAGGCAGCCCCCGCTCCGCCTCCACCCGCCGCTCCGCTCCGCCCCGCGCCCCGCAACCCCCACGGCCGCCCTGAGCAGGACGCGCGCGCCACGCGGCGGCCGGGAACGGCACGTGCTGCGGCACGGGGCCGCGCTCCGGGCCGCTCCGTACGGCGGGGCTCGTCCTCGCAGCCCGACGCCGAACAGCCCGCATTTGGGACGCACCCCGTCGCCGAACAGCGCTCTGGAGGATGGAGGATCTCGGTAGCGCTCCCAACGGAAACGACAAGAACCAGCTGTTCTCAGCACGTTGGCTGTTCCACTCCGCGCAGTCATTGGGAGCTGACGGACCGCTCATAGCGACCTTGGGAGCGGGTCGCGCAGCAGAGAGCGGCACCGAGAAACGCTCGTGGCCGCACGAGGTCGGAGTCGCACCGCGGGCGCCGCACGGCCCCGTCAGCCCGAGGCGTCGCAGCGGAACAGTCCCGCCTGCAGGCAGGGGACCGGCAGCGTGGGAATAAAGAAGGATAAGACGTCATCCACCGCCTACCCTGGAGCGTTATTCACAGTGCAGTTATTAGAAACACCATAGAAACTAATTTTGAGTGCTTGCAGAGGAGAAGACTACAACAGGACCACACGGTCCTGCAAAGCTTCCCTGGGCTCTGAATAAGATGAAGTTACCACCAAATAACGGCAAACTCCAAACCTGGTCTAGCATTCCCAACGAAACGCTCAACTTATAGCGCGTGGTTTGCCCCGAGCCAGGCCTGAGGCAGCACCTGGAGCAACAACAGCAGGAGCAAAAAGCCTGCAGCTTCTCTCCCCAGCAATCTGAACAACCTGAGATCCAAGCACAGCCTGCACCATGCTGGTAACTGCACCAGGCAGAACCTCATGATACAGCAGTGACAAGAAAGCTCTTACCCGAAAAATCATACGGTATTTGCAGAAATGATCTGCTGTAGAGAAAACACACTGCACCTCTGGGCCTGAGACTCCAGGCACATGCTTTGCTTCAGTTGCAAACGCTTCAGCTCAGGGCAGAGCTCTTGCGAGGTATTTGCACTCCAAAGATTTGCTTTAAAGAAAAGAGCAAAGGGAACAAACATCTATGACTACCGTGCATAGTTCTGTTCTCTGCTCAATCATTGCTGCTGTACACCCCAATGGTTTCTACCTTGTGTGCTGAAAGGTGCATGAGTTACACATCAGTGAGATTTGGAAAGCATGAAGTCCAGATCCCCATGAAACATTTCTGACCTCTGTTGTGTATCACGGATGAACTGCTTTGAAACTAAGTTACATGAGATAGGAGGAAGTGTGTGAAGGGGTATGTTCAGAATGGACAGCACCTGAAATATTTCTGAAAGACAATTAATGGAATTTCAACATCTAATTGTGTGCCCAGATCATGTTTTGCAAGTCAGTTTTAGACCGGTTGTTTTTAAGTTTGCAAAAATACATCTTTTTCTCATTTCACAGCACAGGATAAAAAAGGGCAGGCTTAATAACAAGGCTTTTACAGGACTTAAACTCCTAAGATTCATAATTTTTAACCTCTAAATTCCATTTATGTAACCTCACATAGCACTCAAAGTCACAGAAATCTCTATATATTCAGCATGAGACTTTAAAATTTTCTGCTGCCTCCAGAAGATGAACCCTACTTTTTAAAACCAAACTGGGTCTGCAGTATTTAGAATAATAGCAAATAACTCGAAAAAAAAGTTAAACAAAAACTTGAAACCCTTAGAAGAAAATGCGGTGCCTCACAACAGGAGGTAGCACAGTTACAGTCATGATTCTAAAGAGACAAGCAAGGCTTGCAAACAGAGACAGTATCTCATTAGACTAATTGGTACAACTTAATACAATAAACAAATTTTGGCTTTTGCAAAGTTCAATATTCCTCTGTATTGTGCTGGGACACTTGCATCCTTTGTTAGTGCATCTCCTGTTGTTTAATCTTCTCTCCATTTTGTCTCCTAAAGCTGTGAAAAACAAGGCACTTATTTGAAGAATTTGTTCAGGCACGCCAGATACACATCAGATTCGTACAAAAACCACCTTATTGGTGTGGTTCAGACAAGCATGAACCTCTGAATGGGATGATTTTCTTACCCTCTGTAGCGCCTTTCACACCATCTGTCCCCCAAACTCTGTTCTTCGTTTCTGAGCATTGCCAACATGTGCAAAAAAAAAAACAACCAAAAAACAAAAAACAAAAAACAAACAAACAAAAAAACCCACCACCAAAAACGTTATGAATGACAAGGTGCTTGAAGAAGGCATTCAGAAGCATCGTTGAACCAGAGAAAAACCATATTCTCCTCTGGAGAGCAAACAGAGGCGCAACATCACAGAGCCCAATACAAACCTTCCCCTCTGATGAAATGCAAGGTATCTCCTTGGGTAATAAAGTACTAGTTCAAGTAGAAAGGAATGTTAATTCGGAGGACAGGAAATTGTATCTTACTAGCAACACCTCCAAATAGCTTCAACATGAAGTGCTGGTAAAATAACACAGCACTTCCTCAAACTGATTTGTGACTCATGTTTCTAAACCACTTAAAAAAATAAACACACTACATAAAGTCATCAGAGAGGAATCTGTCTCCTGTTTGAGAGGGAAAGTACACAGCTGATCTATCATCGCTGCATAAGCAGTCTGAATTCTTCAATCTTGGCTACAATCTCACTTCTCCAAGAACCAGCCGTACCACTTCTTGCTTCCACAGCATCCAAGAGCAACACTGCTAACATGCAGTGCATATTTTCCTTCAAGCGAGAACTGGAAGCGTCTGTGAAGCTACTTTGAGGCTGCTGATCTCCCTTCTTCAGGAAGCACACAGCTCTCAGGATCAGCAGAACTAACCCAGGCAAACCTAGATTAGAGGAGTGCCACAGCTCATTTCTAGGTAAAAAAAAAACTGCAAATGGGATCTTTAGCACTGATTTCAGTCTTTTTCCTTGTGTTACACCATGTGTCTCAATGTGTTCCTTTTGAAAATTCAGACAAGTCTCTATCTGCAAACAATCAATTCTGAACTGCGTTGGAAATGATCCTGAGAATTCAGTACAATGAGTTGAGATAAAAACCTCATCTTCTGTGTAAGGGAAGAAACTTAATGCCATTCACAGGTAAAATATTTGCACCCATAAGGTCACAAAATACTGCAAATATTTAACTGACAGTGTCTGACTCCTTTCTTTCACTTTTTGCTTCTATACAAGCTGCTCTCTGCAGCAGTGTTGTACTTACTCCCACTTTGAGGCTCTTTTGTGAGAGATGCTGACATTTTTTCCTCGGTTGAATTGCACAGGCAAGCGTGGGGAGATCCTTCTCCATTTTTATTCTCTTCTCATACAGAAAGCAACGTGTATCTAAATGCCTGATCGCACACAGAGCAAGGACAGTTGTGAGCAGCTAACAGCTGTCACGAAAAGCAATCTTTGGGTCTTCCTGCAGGCCTTAAATTCTTTCCAGTAGTATTTTTCCTCAAATATTTTTCTCCACACGTTATCATGTGGTATTTAACAGTTGCATTTCTTCCTCAAGGAGGCAGCAGCAGCAGGGAAAGTTAGTCTTTCTTTTACAATTAGTCTCTTAATTTAGGAAAGCAACATGGAGAGACTAGTAATCTGTAGCAATGGTGTTGCATTTCAGTCTTGTTCTTTATTCGTCTCTGATTAATTTCTGAACTGTGCCCTCACTTCAGATTCACCCTGGGTCTGTATTAGCATTATTCCAGCTTAAAAAGCCTTATTAACCTTTCAGATTTTGCTCTTTTTATTGTTTTTAAAGCATTCAATTCATTCAGAATATCTGATCCTTAAATTTCAACAGCAATACTAGGAATTAACATGTTCCCACAACAATTCACATTTTACAGAAAAGCCAGTAACTCAGAAATGTTTCAGAGCTTTGTACATTTGGATAGAAGATTTTTAGGTCAGAAAAGCACTACGTCTAAATTTCCATACAGTATGAAGGAAGGTGCAGCACAGAAGTTCTATGGCTTGCCCTGAGAACAGCAGCTGCAAAAGAACCTAAAGAAACTCAAATCTTCTGCCACCAGGTAAATTTTTTCAAGGGCTGCCAATGCATTTGATAAGAGAGAAAACATTTTAAGGGGACCAGGTACAAGTTAAAAACATTAATACAGTTGTAAGAAATACTTACATTAAAGGAAAACCACCAAATCGCCAGCAGCATTTGGCAGTGATGACAGATGAGAGACAACCATCTCCCCGACTCACGTCCTGCACTTTACCATAAGTAGTCTTCAGGCAAGTGATACAAATGCAAAAGTCATTATCAGCAGCTACCATAGGAATCATAGCATGAGCACATCACAGGTCAGTCAACAGCACCGAAGGACAAGTCAAGATTTGCTTCAGAGAAAGGAGCAGAAGAAGCAAACATTAAGCTAACGTGAAAATAGCCCACAGGTGCCCAAGAGGAAACAGAAACCCATCTACAGTCACACTTCAGAATCAGCAAACATTGCATTCTTCCTCATTTTTACATGTCTAAAAGTAATTAAGAAAAAAAACCATTTTATTTCTATATCCATTTATTATTCCAGTCTGTAAAAATATAAGACTAATATACAGCTACAGCTAGCTAGATTCATAAAATCAATCTTCATTCAGTGAGCTAACAATGTACATTATACATTGAAGTTGTAAGAAAAATACTGATATTTGACATTTTAAACAAGTTCATTGATGTAAAAATCACATTTCAAGTAGAATTTAATTAGAAAATACATAATATTCACAAAAATACACATGTTAAAGACAGGTTGTGAGAACATTGCCCTAAATTAATTCAGCTGTGGAAAAACATATGATTCACAGTTAGGCTTGACTTACCCAGTACCAGAGCAGAACTTCAAAGTAAATGCATCTTAATTCTATGAAGAATTTGCTTGTTTCCCAGTAAGGTGCACTTATCTC